GGGGGGAGTGAAAGGAAGTCTGTGTGACCTGCACATAGTGAATGAGCAGGGAGTGTGGCATGAAGTGAGACTGGAAAGGTGGGCCGGTTCACATCATGCCTTGCAAAGTCGTGATTTAAGATTTTGGACCTTATCTTAAGTGAAATAGTTATATGGCCTTACAAGTTATGAGCTGCACAATTTCGAGGGGCACCATTTATGCTGTGGCCTAGGGTAATGATACCGCAGAAATGTGAACAATGCACCCTGGAATTGTGCAGTGTACATCCTGTACAACCATACCCAGAGACTGAATAGTCTATCTACAGTGGGTGGCATGGATTAGAGAGGGCAAGAGGCTTTGAGGAGTCCAGTCAGGAGCCTGTTGCACTCGTCCCGGTACTACCCTACCTTCCTTTCATGCTCAGTCCCTTGCTGAGCTCACCTCTGTCCCTCTCTGCTTTCCAACAATTCCTCCCTTGACTAACTTCTTAATGATTGACTTGAGTGGAACTTAAGAACTACTCAACAGCAAGCAGTCAGGGACAAGCAGGAATTAGCCCACAGGGCATAGGACTCCTGGCAGAGGGTACCTTGGCAGGGGCAGGGCAAGGTAGCAGGGCAGAGCCGCTGGACAGGGCCCTAGATCTAGGGAGACTCTATACGTGCCTGAACCGAAATGGGAGCAGAAAAGGAAGCTGAGCTCCAGGCCTCTCGAGTGGTTCCTGGGAGACCCTGGTCTATCAGCAAGAGAACTTGGAGCAGGATCCGAGCCCAGCTAGGGTGGAGCAGGATTGGTCACAGCTGGGATAAGGCCTATGAGGAAGTTGGGGCAGCCCTAAGGAGGTGTCCCGGCGCTGGACTCGGCTTGTAGCCCAGGCAGCGTTGATCTTTGCAGAGCCTGGACGCTGGGGCCTGAGGGGGCCTAGCTGCGGCAGCCACAGCTGCAAGGGTCCCAAGGCTAAGACCTGGGAGCCACAACCCAGCCTTTTGGAGCCACTGGCCTCCTTCTCTGCCCGATCTGGAAGGATCCCTGTCCCTACTGACCCGGGCGTGGTTAGAGCTCGGATATCTTCCCCTATCCCTCCTTTCCCAGGGGTTCAGCAGGAGCTCTCCCCGCTTTGAATCCCAGAGCGTTTATATTTTCTCTTACATCATTTACCTCATCTGACCCTCTGCATAGTTCGGTTTTTAAAAATCATTCTCGTGGTGAAAAACAGCACATATACAGAAAGGTACATGCAACATAAACATACAGGTCGGCGAAATCTCAGCCAGCAAGCCACCCACGTGACCACCACCCAGCTCCCAGTTTCCTTCCAGCCACGGTGTCCTCAGCCTTTTCCCTAAATGTAACCACTCTCCTGACACGGGCTTTTGCCTTTTGCTTTCCTTTTCTTTTTTCTTTTGTTTTTCCTGATTTATTTACCTAAACACACACTCCTAAATAGGAGGAAGAATTCTTTCTCTTGTTTGTTTTCTCTACTGCCGTTCTTCAAAGGACAGCTCTCCAAGGGAGTGTGTGCAGGGGGACCAGAGCAGAGAGGGGGCCTTGTAGGACAGAGGCGGCAGCAGAGGGCTCAAGGGGCAACCAGAGAAGAAAGGGATGGGGGGAGGAAATGGTTGTACAGAAGCTGGGGGACCCGTGGCAGAACTCTCCTGAAAATACAAACTCCCAGCCGCAAAGCCAGCTGCCTTGCCCTGTCCTCCACCTGAAGCAGTCTGTCCCCTGATGACCCTGGTCTACTGCATATTCTCACCAGGTGGGCGTCTGTGCCCTCGGGGGGGGGGGGG